GTAGGTCATACTCAATGTCATTGTGTCATTTAAGTACTAATGTTACATACTTATACTAATGTGATCTTAGTATTTTTGATAGCCCAGACGAGTACAGTGTAAAACTCAATATCTTGATCGGTGAGAGGGTTCAAATGCTGATTTCATTTTCTTAGTAAGGAAAAACAAATGATAGACACATTAATCTAAAGGCAAGACCACGGGTTCAATGTCCTTGAACACCCCATATACAGTCCTATAAGCAAAACTAAAATCACACAAAACCCTGTCTAACATTCAGTTCATGGGGAAAAAGGGAGGGCATAGCTAGTTTGCGATACCAGCTTCTTTTCGAAGCGGGCGTTCATTTGTCATCAACCAGCCAAGCGATTAGCAAAGTTCTATTTTATTTCTTTAGAATGAAGATGAGGTGATAGATGCGGTTAAAGCAGCAGTAAGGGCTGGGTATAGACATATCGACTGTGCTGCCATCTACCGGAATGAACGAGCTGTTGGTCATGCTATTAAACAGCTGATTGTAGAGGATGTGGTCAAACGAGAAGATTTATTTATTACAAGCAAGGTTAGTTTGGGGAATTGAACTTGAAGAAAACATTACAAGAATGTTTGCAGACCGTTTATTCATTTTTGATTCCTATGATAACACGAACACACACCCTACTTTAAACAAGAATTCGTCGAGGTAATAAATAAGAATGGTATATGATTTGTTTTGCTGATCTCTTGAAAATCATAGAAGAACATTCTTCAGTACAGTGATCAGCATCGTACCTCCCTTGAGGATCCAGAAGAATCGACTGAAGATGAGAGTGGAATGAATGTTTTATGAATTTTAGTTGCAAGAAGTTTAATACATCTCTTGTTGGCAAGGATGATAGAGGACTTTTAATGCATGATTAAAGGCAACCCGAATGCAATAAATTGTAACCAATTCTGTAATAGGAAATATATAGTTTCTGATAGTTTGAAGGTTTAACTGTATGTTGTAGTTATGGAATACATGTCACCGACCAGATTTAGTAGAAGATAATTTAAAGAAGTCATTAGAAGATTTAGGTTTACAATACTTAGATTTATATTTAATGCATTGGCCTATGGCGTATAAGGTATGGTTTTGTACAGTATAGACACCAAAGTATAGAACCCCAAAAAATGAAAAACAAATGAATGGAGTTTTACGTCCACTTTTCTGCACCATGTGGCTAATGAAGACGGGCAACGACATGCAGGGTGCGATGAAGGATATTTTGCCAGGACAGCGGCATTAGCCTGCTCTTTTTCGATTTCCAACTGTCGAAGGATCTTTAACGTGCACACGGGGCCTCGGTTTATTGAAACATTTCGTTTTATAAATATGCAAATGCCGTTTATGTTTTGGTGAGTTCAAAGCTGGAATTCAGGTTTATATCCGAGATAGCATAGGAGTTATATTATTCCGTCCCAATCTTCCCGATTGATTTTCGTGGTTTTCTATGTTACAGGAAGGGGGAGAATTTTTACCACGAGATGAAAATGGGAAAGTTTTATTTTCTGATGTCGACTACTTAGATACATGGAAGGTAATGGACACTTAATGGATTCTAATCTCCAATGCTAAATCATTATCATTCTTGGTTCTCAGCATCATAAAAACCAGACGCCGCAATTAACACCCCCATTCTTATTCTGTATTATCATCATTGTTTTGTCGTCGATATTTTATCTATTCCTTTTAGCATGAACATCTTCTCTTTCTCGTTATTATTATTATCCCTATTTCCAGTTATTGTATTATGTTATTTTATGTTATTTTATGTTATTTTACGTTACGTTACATTTTATTATATTACATGTACATACACATCACATAATATTATATTATCATTTTAGGCACTAGAAGACTGTGTTGACCAAGGACTAACATTAAGTATTGGTTGTAGTAATTTTAATAGTAAACAATTACAGAGAATATTAGATAATTCCAGAATTAAACCTAGTAATAATCAGGTAAAATACGATCAATTTATGTAAATTCTGAAGCTGGACTTTGCCTCCTCTTCCCATCACCTCGCTCTTTAGAATCTGAAATACCAAGAGCCCCTATTATATTATTCGTCCGCTCCCCTCTCCCCCTTAGTGATAAATAGAAACGCCCCTGAACCTAACCTAACCTATAGGATCTATCGACTGCTTTTGTGTTGGATGCATTACCCATATCGTAAAGTTATTTGTCAGATGACTACATGTTATTTAACATAATATATATATATAGACCTGTGATAAGTATAAAGCATCCAATGGTCCCTTATATAGTGCACGTGATGTGTACTTGATGTGGACATTTGGGAACTGCATCAACATCTCTGCCACCTTATAAATCAGATACAAGTTGTCAGCTTGAATTGAATTAACTTCTTCTCTTTCTAGGTAGAAATAAATATACAGAATAACAATAAGAAATTAGTGGAGTATTGTAAAGCTAATGATATAGCTGTAACAGCCTTCGCTCCTCTAGGTTCACCTGGAAACACCAGGTTCGTATTTCTTCAGGGATGAGTTCCAGTGTAAAATATTTCAACAATTGTTTCTTGAAATTATAAGTCTGATAGTCAATGCATTGAATTAAGGTGTTTTATTCGTATTGTTACTGAAAAACTTACAAGATAGCAAGTAGTCGGGATTGATGATAAGATATTTGTATTATATTACAGTAATTCTACGCCATTATTAGAAGATCCGGTATTAAAGGATATAGCCAGCAAGAAAAATAAAACACCAGCTCAGGTAGTTAGTTTCTTCATCTTCCTTTATCCGTCAACCATATATTATGACCCTGCTGCTGTTTCCTTGGGATCCAGAACATCAGAACAAAACCGTATTGCTTTTTTTTTTACCCAAATGTTAATAGAAACGGAAGATCAATGCCAAGAGGCTAGTAAAAAGGATCTTGTTCAAAATTGGTATTTCTTTCTTTACCTTTCTTTCTTTCGCTACGTGATGACTAGGACAAATGACACTAAGCCTTGATGACCCAGTAGCAGTGTACATTTTTGTAACTTGAAGGTTTTATCTATTGGTAAGATATTGAGGAGGAAATATGCTTGCGATCGTTCTGATACTATTTGATATTTTCAGGTAGCTTTAAGGTTTTTAATACAACAGGGTATTGGGGTGTTACCTAAAAGTGTCAATGCTAAAAGAATACCAGAAAACTTTGAGGTAAACCTATTGTGTAATAAAAGTCCTTCATTTTGTAAATCTGTTGATCGCTGGCGCAAAAATATTTTGTTGAATCAATCACTAGTTTGAAAAAGATCAGGGAACCATTATCATAAAATAGAACTGGTGATAAAGCAGTAATTGTTATCTATAAAGTCTGTTGTTTTTTTTTTTTTTATCAAATGCCCGCATGCCCCCAATGGCCCTCGGTTTAATATTAGATATAACCCTCGGAAC